CCTTTCCCCTTAGGTGTACAGATGACAGATCCAGGGTTGAAATTTTTCAATCTCTTCAAGGTTTTTGGTTCAATAGACTTCTATTAAACTTTTTAAAGTTCTGACCATTTAAATTTTCTCAGAAGTTATTCATTCTATTTTGACAGTAAAATTCATTACTATAAAACTGTACACAGTACTTCCATATTATTCAAAGATTTTTTCATGTTTGTATTCTTTACATCTGCTTAGGCTTTCTAAGAAACAAACTTACTGCTGGCAAATGAGGAGGAGAATTTTGTTTGTTCCATCTCATGTTGTCCTCCAACTGATGTCTTCCCACCACAGTGTCACTAACAGGGCTCTAGCACCAGCAGCGATGGCCTTTGTCCCTGTCTGAGGTGTTATAACATGAAGTTTGCTTCCTACAGCTTTTTTTTTCCTGTATTTTAGGGAAGGGCCTACAGGGTGTTCAGGGTCTCACTACCAGATCGGACTCATAGTGATTCTCCTATTTATAGCCTCCATTACAGGTGTGCGCCGCTACGCCCAGTCTCAACTGCTGTCTTAGCATGACCCGGGGGCAGGGCTGGCCCGGCAGGCCCAGGGATTGAACCCCGGGCCCCTGCACCTGCTGGCAGGTGCTTAATCCACTGAGCTATTTGGCTGGCCCTCTACAGCCTTTTAATAGACAAGCTTCCTCAAGTTAAGTTCTTTACCTATTCTGTAGGTCAAAAGTGCTTTAAAAATATTTAAGTGTGAAGACTATTTTATATTGACTCAGGTTCCCTAACGGCTATTGATTTGATCACTTTCAAACTTCTTCTTGAAGTAAATTTGGTAATATACATATATTTCCTAGAAAATTACCCATTTAATCTGATTGTATAACTGTTAACATAAATTTACTAATAATACACCTATGACTTAAAATTTCTATTACATTTATAGTTCTAGATATTTGTTTTTATTTGTATTGTTTTTCATTTTTGCCCTATGCCTTTTTGATTTTTTAAAAATCTGCTTTTATTTTGTTGAATCATTGCTTTTCTTTCTTTTTTGTCTTTTAGAGACAGGGTCTCATTGTGCGATTCAGGATGGCCTTGAGCTCACTTCGTAGCCCAGGCTGGTGTCAAACTCAAAATGACCCTTCTGCCTCAGCCTCCCACTAGGATTACAGGTATGAAACACCAGGTCTGGTCTTGAATCACTGTTTTTCTGCTCTTACTTTCTACCTTAAAATTTACCTTATAATTCTTTTTCTAAACCACTATGGTTAAATACTGAGCTTATTTTTTTTTATCTTACTAATATTTATTTATTTATTTGGTTTTATTATGCAGCATGGACTCACAGTTGTTCTCCTGTCTTAGCCTCCCCAGCACTGGAATTACAGGCATGCATGACCATGCCCAGTTTCAGTGGTCGGCTCCACCAGGCCATCACAGTATGCAGTACCAGGGATCAAACCCGGGTCCTCACATTTGCCAGACAGGCACTTAGACCACAGCCCCTATCTCACTAATACTTAAAACCACACATTAAACTAGAATCTTTTCTCTAAGTACTCTTCTAATGTTTTCCAGTAGTTGTAACAGGTAACACTGTCAACTATAATTACTTAAAAAATATTTACTGCAATTGTGATTTCCTCTTTAATGCAGAAGCTATTCAGGAATATGTCTCCAGACATTATGGATTTGGTATTTCTTCCCTTTAATTTCACTGTGGTCAGAAAACAAAATCTGAAAGATGTGCATGAAAACAAAACTCAAATGACAAAATGTCTTTGAAGTATACTATGTATTTCTTTGTGATTTAACAAAATCATTTTTTAAAAAAGTTCTATATGTCTGTGGAAGCATTCATCTACCTGCTGAAATAGGTACAAGCATTAAAGGTATATCCAAAGACTACTATCACTGTGGATTACTCAGATTCAGTAGGTAATTCTCCACATTTTGCTGCATACAGATTTCAGGCTGTTTTTAGGAACACACTACTTACTACTCTTGTCTATTCCTGGTGGATTTTCCCATGTCTCACTAGCTTGTGCGCCTTAGGGTCCCACACAGCTGAGGCTGCTCTCCCTATACTAGCATGTTTGTGTGCCTGTTAGATTTTCTCTATTAGTTTTGTTTCCTATAAGTCCTCTATACAGGGAGATTATACAATCAACCAACCAATAAATCTGATCAGATCATCTGTCTTTTGAGGGTCTGAGTTGATACATGTATTTATTCACAGCTTTTCTGAATTCTCATTTACATTCTTTGTTTTTTGCATTAATACAATTTTTAGGAAGTTCTCTTGCCTCTAGTTGATATTTAAGAATGTTACTCCCTTTTTATGATTAGTTATCTTCAGATATTTTAATACGAATACTAACAGAAACCTTTTTCCCTAATCAACTGAAAATTATTCAGTTTCTATTCTCCTTCCAAATTCTCAAAATGGGTAGAATAATTTGTAACTTCATTTTTATTAACATCTAACTGAAACAGCATTTTCTTTATGTAAAAACAATAAACAGTTTGTAGAGTATCTGCCACTCTGTCACTATTAGCAAATAGATAGTTTCGTATCACATTTCAATTTTCATAGACACCTAAAAATACTACTTATACTCACAATTTCTTTTAAGTTGTAATAGCTATTAGAGCTGTCACTGTTATTAATAAGTATATGTTATTAGCATATTTTAAGATCTGAGAGTTGTGTTTTAATACAATTCCATTTTGTAATTCTCTGTTCTATGAATTTAAAAACCACACTGTGGGTAAAGACCTATAGATTTATTAAACTATCAAATGCCTCTAACAGGCACAAAAAAGATGAAGAACCTGCTGACAACATAAATCTTACAGTGTTTTGAATAAATCTGTATTTTGGCCTGATTCTGCAGATGACATCCTTAGCATTAAATTTCTCACACATTCTAGGACTTTGGGAGTAGCTTTATTCTGAGGTTTTTAGTTCTCTTTTTTGATCTCTGTCCCCTCCACCTGGGTGTCCATTCCAGAATTAGTCACAAATGTTAGTGAGCGCATTAACAAGCCTGCCTGGGGCAGCAGGTGGCCCAGCCCTTGCACTTGCTAGGAACTGTCCTCTCACCTCCAGCCCTCCAGCCCAGAGAGCTCCCACCACAGCTGGGGGAAGCTGCTCTTAGACTGCTTTCTCAAGTGCCACAGCCCCACCCAGCCCTGACCTTACAGAGCACCCAAGGACTCACATTTCCATTGGATAAGGTACGTCTGTTGGTGTAGGTGGGTTAAGGGAGACAGAGTTAACAATGCCTTTGTAGTACCACTTCAGCCTTTTTATACAGAGAGCTTGCAGTATTGTTTGTTTATACTCTGTAGCTGTTTTCCTTTTTGATCCAGATTTTTAAAATTATGTTCCAATTCCATTTTAATAAGGACTTAAATTTTTTTTAAGTTTAGGGATGAGTACTGATTTTCCTTTAAATCAAAACACTTTAACACATCTATCTATCCTAACTAATCATATACTTTTGCTTTGTCAGTAATGCAAATCAATTTAAAATTCTCTAACAGTAATTCATTTGCATGTCTGAATGAACTGTACTTGATTATAGAGTTAAGATTCTTTTAAATTACTTATTTAAGACTTTACAAGAATAGCCATAGGCAAAACCCTTGTCTTTATGTATACTCATTTTTAAAAGTTTTGATATTGCTATAATGACTTCATTATTAAAATGATTTTCTTAAAGTCATTTACTGTAAGAACTTAGGAAATTTCCTTTCACATATAGGTTTCACCTGTAACTTTGCTCTGCGTTTCAGTATTATACTTGATTTTTAGTGTATCTTACTTTTGAAATCCAACACATTATCAAAACAAGAGGACAGTAATCCTGTAATTCTTTTGGGCAGACAAGAACCTCCAAGCTTCACATTCCCGAGCTGGTAAGCTACAAACTGAACTTGTAGGTTGTTATGGTTTGTGTATATTTGTCCCCCCAAAGCCTCATGCAGTCACTGAGGCGCAGTTCTACAGTCTGTGATTAATTCTTGATCCAAGGCTGGGATTACAGGTCTGAGTACTGCTAGGATTATGGGTGTGAGCGCTACACTCAGCCCGGGGCGGACAGCTGGAATGTAACAAGTGAGACAGAGACAGACTTGCTCTTTGTAGCCATTGTTGCTGCTACTCTTTCCATTGCTCTTGCTGCTTGCTGTTTTCTGCTGCAGTGAATTGCTGCCCTCTGCCATGTGCCGTGCTGCCTTGGAGCCAGCTGAGTATAAACTGAAACCCCCACTAACCATGAGCTAAATAAACCTTCCCTACCTTCATTTTTGGTGTTGGGGATATGTCCCAGCAAGGAGAGAAGAGTAACTGAGACATAGGTTAAAAGATAAGCATCTCTATACATTTTAGTTTTATGTTACACACTTCCTATTTGTTAAAATGTTCTTTCTAAGCACATAAGGATAGAGAAACCTCAAAGGAAACCACACCATGTGGCCCTACTGCTAGCTTCCAGGAGAAAATGGAAAGGAAGTTGTTTCTAAGAGAGGTAGCTTCATTAATCAGTTAAATAATATAAAGGGAAGATGGAAAAGAGAGGAAAATAGGCCATATTTTTAGTATTTTTTATGTTTACAATATTTCAAAAAATGTAAAACAAAGTATTTGAGGCTATGATCTGCAAAGTGTCTTCTATTGTAAAATCCCATGCTTTCTACCTGTGAAACCCTAACGCCTGAGGTGACATCCATGGAGTGGTGCGCATGCTGCTGTGGAGAGCTACCTGTCTCTGATGGGAATACAATCTCACTTGTGTTTCAGCTCCAGATCCAGTTCTTTTGTTCAGGCACACTTTTTGTCTAATTGTAGGTATTTTTTTCTAATATTTTTTAATAACATTTCTTTAAGCAATATCTAGTTGACTAGTCTCTCCATAATATCTTATTCCTAGTTTTTTTGTATTAACTAATTTTTTTAAAAGAATTAGTATCAGCCTCTTGTATTTATATCATATTTATTATTAAAACCTCAAATGGGTAATTATTTTGCAGGTATGCATCTATGATCATGTTTTGACACCTGCAGGTAAAGGGCTCAGGGGTGAGGGGCTAGATCTCCAAGCGGATTAGTGAATTTTGTTCCATTGTTTAAGCTTAGTCTTTAACCTAATGAGTTACATAGCAAATGTGTATCTTCTATTAAACAATAGCTTAGAAGAATACAGACGACTCATTGTAAATATATTACCTCTATTAGAAAACATTCAAAACACACATTATTCTTATGCTGATACTGATAAATATAACTTTTATCTCCTGAAAAATCTTTTTATATTACTGTGCATCATGAGACTGAAATTTAACCTCATTTACATTTTGAAGTAAATATTACAATACCACGAGGTATCAGAGTTACCTTATAGTAATGATGTCCCCTGGGTTTGCCTTGATGAGCCAGCTGCAGTTGAGCTTGGCAGGGTAGTCAGATGGCCAGCCCGGACTTGTGATTACACCACTTGGTGCTCGGATCTGCTCTGCAGTCTCTCCACAAGCTGGAAGACAGCCAAAGCAAGCCTAGGTGATGATTAGGCTCTAAAACACAGCATCAAGCAAATCACATTTATAAAACAAAACAAAAGAAAAAAAAAACATCACTTAAGACATAAAATCTTATGTAGTAATATGCAGTATTAACAACTTTGGGAAGCTTCCATTAATTCAATGTGATCTTTAAATTTCTTCCTTTTAAGACAAAGAACATTATCCTAATTAAACGTAGTTTATTTTTTATTTTTTGTGGTTCCAGAGATTGAACTCAGGACCTTGCCCTTGCCAGGCAAGCATTCATTCCACTGAGCTATCTCCTTGGACCCCTAAGCCTAGGTTTTGGATAGGCAAGGAAGTTTTCAAATTGTATTAGTCAAGAGTCACAGTTGCTAGATTTAGCTAGGGAAACCAATTGATTCAGCTATCTTTTCTCAAGCCCACCTTTCAAATTTATATTTCTTGGGCTGGGGAAATAGCTTAACAGCATAAGCATCTGTCTGGCAAGTGCAAGGTCCCAAGTTCAATCCCCAGTACCACAAAAATAAATAAATTTATATTTCATTATAAATTACCTAAAGTTCAGCATTTACTGAGTTACTGTGTTTTCAGCCTTATGATTATCATTTTGCTTTCTGAACACTTTACTTTTTTCTGTATTTAGGGAAGGGGCTACAGGGTGTTCAGGGTCTCACTACGGGTATATGAGACTCGTAGTGATTCTCCTGTTTACAGCCTCCCGAGTGCTGGGGTTACATGCGTGTGCCACCATGCCGAGTGTCGATCACCATCTCAGTGCGCCCCGGGGGGCAAGGCCAGCAGGGCAGGCCCAGGGATTGAACCCCTGGCCCCTGTGTCTGCCTAAGCAGGCGCTTAATCTGCTGAGCTATTTAGCCAGTTCTTTCTGAACACTTTAAATAAACATAATTATAATTTTTACTATGAAGTTAGTAGATGATTGGATAAAAACACTCAGTGGCATAAGTGACTGAATGGCCAGTGGAAGGTCCTGAGTTTGATCCCAAGTATCATAAAAATAAAAAGCAAACTCCCAGCAAAACATTCAAAATTACTGTAAAGTATAGTAGTTTGTCCACTTATTCCATTAATACGTCCAAACTTTATTACAGGTCATTAGTGTTTCCTAATTTACTGAAAAATAAACTCAAAATACAATAGTGCTCAAAAGTATCACTAAGTGATTAGATATCTGATTACCATGGAAGAAAATTTTCATGCATAGAGAATAAATTGAAACTAATACCAACACTTTCCTTGCTCATTCTTTTACTGTCTTGAATCTCACTGCAATACAGTTAATATTTTATCTATAAAGAATTTAGCTGATAATCTTTCATTTATTTTCTCTCAATTAAAAATAAAATCACTCCCCTACAAACATGATGTTTAAACCTTCAACTAGAATTTAAAAATCATAGAACCACTTTTTAAAAACAATTTCAACAAATTAATTACCTGATTTTTAATGTAACAGCAGATTAGAAGGAACAGATTAGAAACCGGGAGAGTAGCTATCAGGCATATCGTTACCAGAAAGGCTGAGGTGCTTGTTGAATCAGAATACAAAACTTCGTACTGGACTCAAACACCACGAGCACTCAGAATACCTACCTTCCACAAGGCAGAGGCGGCTGCCATCACAATTAACGCATGTGCCTATCAAGAGCTGGCAGGCAGGCAGAGTCAGCAAAAAGGCTTATGTAACATGCGGCCTGAGCACACATGCTTTCTGGGTCCTGTTACTAGGTTTTTAAAATTTTTTTGTATTGGTACTCGAACTCAGGACCTTGTACTTGCCAGGCAACCTGCCAGCAGTTTAGAAATCAATACAATTGCCATTTAGAAAAATACTCTCTCTTGGTAACAAATTTATAGTCTGTTCAATTTAATTACATTAGAAAACACACAACACACTTTAAAAACTTTATCCAGAATCACCAAAATAAAGGGAGCTACACTGCTTAAAGCTGGTTGTCACTTCTCCATACTCGATCTCACCCTCCGGAGCAAACCTCAGGCCAGGGTCAAAGGCACTCTACAGGGGCAACTCGCCGGCCTCCACAGGTGCCAGCCCCGCCAGGGCAGGGACGTCAGCGGGGGCTCGCAGCACATGGGGGCCCCAGCACAATTCCCGGGATGCTCTCCGTTCATCTCACTGCCCAAGCAGTCAGTTCACATTTCTTTGGCGGTTGTTTCATTAAATTTCCCTTACGAGAAAAATTTCAATTTTAATGAGTGTTTTAGAAAAGGACTAAATTTCTCTAAACATAATTGTTTTCAGAGCTTACTAATAATTAATTGCCAATTGTTTCCACTTTGAGTTACCATCATGATAATTTAATAAGATACTCTACGTCAGTTATAAGATCTTTCTTATTATCGCTTACTGACGTGTTATAGGAAGGATTCTTAAGTTCATGAAAATACAAATAAAAGCGAAAAAATAGTTTGGGGAGTTATTCCCTCAAATATGGACAAGTGTCCATCTTCTTTAAAAATTCATCTGCATTGAAGAGCATAAACCAACGTCAAGTTAGTAGCATTTAACTTAGAATTCAAACACCACACTGGCATGTACGTGTTCAGATACTTGTAAACTGACCCAGCAGCTATGAAACAGCAAAACCTAGGGGAGCGCGTAACAGGACAGCGCAGAAGATTATTACGCTTTACATAAATGATGGGTTAGCTACAAGGAGAGAACTAGAAAGAACTGTGCTAGGTTTTGGTTTTACTAGTTTTCTTTTTAAGAAAAATTTCTTAAACACTACATGAGATGCCCATAGGTGGTGCTCTTATACCAGAAACTAAAGTTAATTTCTGGTATGAGCCTCAGAAGTGGAGGAGCAAATTCTTTATCTCCATAGAGCTTGCCCAGAATGAGACATATCACTGTAAGTCAGAATGATTATCTTAAGATTCCCATTTACCATATGCACTGCTCTTATCATTATTTTAAAATATTAATGATTTCTACTAAGGAAAAATAAAACTATAGTATCAAAATTTTTCTCTTTGAATTTCTCATTACTACATACTGATTTGGTTTTCCACATCTGTAACACAGCCGAATTTAAATTTTTTAAAAAATGATTTGATATATAAAACATAAATATATAAATTATATATAATGCTTTGATACATGTACACAGTATATAATATTTAAATCAGGTTAGGCATATATATCTACTATAATATATACATTTTTAATCTTTTATTGATTTATTTGGTACAGGGTCTCACTACACAGCTCAGACTCATAGTGATCCTCCTGTCTCAGCCTCCCCAGTGCTGAGATTACAGGCATGCGGCAACACACCCAGTTTCTTTTTTCTTTTCTTTTCTTTTTTTGCGGAACTGGGGATTGAACTCAGACCCTTGTGCTTGCCAGGGAAGCGCTTATTCCACTGAGCCATCTCCCAGCCCTGCACACCTGGTTTCAGTGGCTGGCTCAGCATGCCTGGGGTTCTGGGGCTGGCACCACGTGTGGTGCTGGGGATTGAACCCATGTCCTTGCACTTGCCAGGCGGGCGATGAGACCACCAAGCTATATCCCCAGCTCATATTTATCATTTCTTTTTTTTATTATTATTACTACAGGTTGAATTTACGGAGTGCTAAGCTAAGTCCCCAGCCTCTTTTTCAGACTAGGTTTCACCAAGTTTCTGTCTTGCTACCCTCCCGCCTCAGCTCTCGAGGAGCTAGGGTTATGGGAGTGCACCATCACACCTGCTGACCCAGTGGCTTTTTAATTAGCACATTTTTGCAAGTGCGATACATGGGCTATGTAGGTAAGTATACACCACCACACACACATTCTCCTCTGTAAGAAAGAATACATTCAGCTGCCAAAGAAACCATTGCACTTCTCCCCGTCTGGGTAAGAGCTCATCTCCACATGGGGAATCTGGATGCTGTCTATTCCATCTGCCTCTTACTGGTTTTGCCTCACTGCAAACCAAACTTGCTGGGTCTTAAAGTTTCTTCACATGTTGAGATAAGGACTTGTTATCTGACCAACCCCAAGGTCTATTTCAGCCTGCAGCCATGTAGCTCTTTCCCTATCACCGTGATGGGTTTCTGCCCTATTTCCAAACGCTCATCAGGATGTATCAATATGTTTTTCATTGCTGTTTCAAAATTTCTTGACTTACTGAAGCCAGACTCCTGATTCTTCCCTTATCTCCACAGAAACCATGCCAGCAGGTGAAAGCCACTGCAGACCAGTCAAGGACAGTGGGTCCTTGCACTCCAGAAGGTACTTGGCCTTTCTGGAGCATGTGACAGTGACATCCTGGCCTTCATGATACTGTTTACCACTCTGCCTTTGCTGACACCTCCCTGGCCCTCCTCTCAGGGGCCACACTAGTTCTCCAACATTACACTCCCTTGCTTAGTCATATACCCAAGTTACTCAGGAGTCTTTGCCTCTTCACACAAGTTGTACGATCTCATCCACTCCTATAATTCCAACTATGATCTATGGTTATAGGCTTAAAGTTCTCTAACAGAAATATTTCAACTTGAAATTCAGTATGATCAGAACAGTTTATTTCCCAAATTCTTCATTCTGTTTCCAGTCTTTAATGGCATAAGCATCATCTGACTGAGGGAAAAGGCAGTTAAGTAAAAAGGAAATTTATTGGGAGGATCCCACAGATAATCTCTAGGTTCTGCAAGACCAGGAAAGGAAATGAAGCATGACATCATCGTGACAAAAAGTGGTAATTTCCAAGCCAAAAACTAACTCATCACCACTTAAGACAATCAAGGCCTGTTTTGCTGCCCACTCTGTGCCCCAATCTTCTAGCTGGCTTTTCTGAGTCTATTTTTTTTTTTAAATTTCACTGCCTTATAAGGGACCTCTTCATCCCAACTTTTGGCACTTTAGTATCAGTATCTAACCTGAACTGTATTTTGATTTTCAGTTTATTATATTTATACTATTTTGTATCTTTTAAAAAATCTGAAGTAGTTTACTGTGATC